AGTTTTTTATGCTGGGAATCCATCTAACGGAAATCGTAATGTGGAAAAAAACATATTTCTTTGCCGGTTTCTGATGTTTGGTATCCATGTTTACGGAAGTCATGAAGTTGATATATTCCTAGCTTGCTATCAGTTTCAGGATTCAGTATTCAGGATAGAATTTTAAACGGAAGACAGGAAATGCATATATACATATTTCGCATTTCTCTAACATTTCTTTAGGAGGGGTATCCATTTGTAAATGAAGTCTTGGTATAGTTAGATATGTATTGCTCTGCCAGTTTTTCAGTCTGGGAATTTATCTTTAAAGAAACTCCCGAAATGGATATATATATATATATGTTTCTATCAGTATCTTTTGTTAGGGATTCATTTTAACGGAAGTTATGAAATGAAGTGGAAATATTTCTGTGTCAGTTTTTTTTTTTTTTTTTTCTTTTAACGAAAGTTATGAAATCGAGGTATATATATTTCTATGCTGGATATTTTGTGCGATTTTTTTTAAACATCGAAAATGGGCCCTCATCACATACAGTATATGTTGATTTATAAAGGAAGAACGATTAAGTTTTCTGGCTGGAAACATGTCAGCTAGTCAGCTATATCCTACTAGTCACCTTTAGAACATCTGATATCTTTTTATTGATGTTTAATTAACAATGTATCGGAAATAATAATTATTTTATACTCAAAATGAAGAGAGTCAAAATATCAATCGTAGGAATCCGTGATCACGTGATTTGCTGAATGTAAGCATGCATTTATCAAGCTGTTTTTATCTTTAAGTTTGTTTTTTGTTTTTTTGTTTTTTGTTTTTTGTTTTTTTTTTTTTTGCTTTTGTTTTTATATATCAGAATTCAAAGAAAATGAACTCATACATAAGAGAAGTCGGTGAGATAAATTAGGTGATTGAGGGTTCTATGATCGATCAATATATTTTAAAATATCCTTTGTTCATTTGTATATACTTGTGAAGAAAATCATTTCCTATCTTTACATTTACATTGGCCTGTGTACTGGGTACTTCTCACCTGTAACCTGTACTTCATTTACATATTTCCTGAATGTTCATTATCATTACGATGCTATTTCCAGCAAACCTCACTATCTAAATACACTATTTGATATTCTATGTCTTTAATATGAAGCTGGACGTGTTGTATGCCTTGTAATTTGTCTAATGATTCCTTTGTTGTATACATTTTTTTAATTTGATAATGACATAACGTACTTGGACTGACCAAGATTTACATTGCGGGCATGAAGCAGAAGACGCTTATTATTCCGGAACATCTGGTCTTATATTCCTTTGCCTTTTTCATGAGTCTCACTGTAAATCTTTCTTCTGATCATATTGTGTCTATTTACTTTAGGTTCGGATTATGTACACCTATTGATATTTTGCTGTTGTTCTGTCTCGAAATATAGATAGAGATTGAAAGAGCTTTGTGGTCGTCAACGAAATATCGTAATAAACTAGTTCGTCTGAATTAAAGTTTGATGCATTGAATAATCGGTGGTTTGTCTGGTGGTTCTCGCGTTATTGAAACAATTATCATATTGAGAAAAGTCAAGATAAATATTGTAGACATCACCGACGAAGCATGGGACCATTCAGGAACACTATTATCTCTGTAAGACACGTGACCTGAGTAACCATTAACTGCCAAATTCTAGATGTGGGTCCCAATCAGCTGTCAAACTCGTGACCTATGTACAGATTCGTGATCTGGGTATCTATTACCTGTCCAGCTCGTGACTGAAGTACCCAATAACTTCGAGATTCGTGAAATGGGTCTCTATTAACTGTCCGGCACTATTAATTGCGAGATTCTTGACTGAGTTGCCCATTAAGTGCAGAGCTCATTGGTGTTCTAGGCAGAAATTTACTGAGGGACTCGTGACTGTTCGCAATAATTGCGGATGTCAGCATTGAGATGTTGATCTTTGTAAAATATCGCCCATTTATAGACTATATATAGGCATGTGGAAACTGATTAGGGATATACATGTTCATTTTTTCATAAATAGAACAGTTGAATGATTGAGAAAATTTTGATCATTTAGTATACTTTTGTACCTTATTTGACTTTGAATCGCATCTTCCACGTCCCTTATCTCTTCATATCACATTGTCTGTATACAGCCTCACTGGCGGAAATTAAAACCCCGACATACACTTCTTAGCCTGTCTGGTACTCTAACTGAAACACAAATCACGCGCGTGAAACTTCTGTGATCGGTAGCTCGTGACAGACCCGGATTTAGACATATTTGTCATCTGACTTGTATCCATGTTAAAGTGCACCGATTTTAATTCTACTAAAGGTTGTAATCCGAACACACTGTAACAAACTAGATAGAAAGGCCTTTTGTAAGATAGTTTATAGGTTAGTGAGGACAATAAAGTAGAAACAGTTTCAAGAACTCTATGAGAACCTCGGACGTATTGAACATTGACATTTAGTAGGTGTAAATACAGTATGGTCGACACCCGGCGAGACTGAAGAGAAACTACGGCGTTTAAAAAAAAAGGTCAAAAAGTCAATTTCTCAATTCAATGTAATTTTCAGTCTTATGGTATTGTGTGATATACAGCGTTATTCAATTGACCTTTTTAGATAGTCTTTATTCACGAAAAACTGCAACCGTGCACCCTTTACTACATCTTAAGCCTTCCTTTGCTTCAATAACGAAAAGCTGCCCTCACATCTCACACCACCGATAGCTACAATGTCGTAAGGATACAAGTGTAGGTATAACCATGGTTACCATAGCTTTAAACAGGTAAAATCACTGATGATCTATCGTATAGCCTCAGAATTAAAATGCCATTATTCAGCGGTCTTAAGACTTCCTAGTGTACCAAACGTGTACACTGGATAATGTTAACGTTCAGCGAAACACTTCCCCGTTTTTTTTAATCTTTTAAACTAACACACATATGTTAACTACATATGTAGATTTTTGTTATTATAACAGTCCTTACTAAAACTGAAAAGAACTTCGCATTTTACAGCTATTTTGTCACATTCGTCCGTGTGGAACTTTTCGGTAATGCTTGAAGCAAAAACATAGAAATACAGCAGACACAAGTGGGGAGATATACGAATGCTTGATATTTTTAAACGATGAAAAATGAAGCCATAAAATCAACCGATCTAGAATTAGGATATTCAGTAACTTTAAAAAAGCAAAATGTTGATAAGCCTGACACAATCTATCAGAATGAATTATTCCTTTTGTAATGGTTACTGTAGCCATGGTGACAGTAGCCATGGTTACCGTTGTCATGATTATTGTAGTCAAGATTTCCGTTCATACTTGGCTTCTTTCCTTTCTATTTAATCACTATTATATCAACATCCACACTTTAAGCTTTGCTTGACCATTGCTTGCTGGAACAAGACGTGATCCAGAACGTGTAACACACGAGGGATACAGTGTTATAACACAGCGTCAGTCCCATTCCTACATGTTTACTGTATAAATCATTGTCTGCCTTAACGTTTGATTGATGAGGCAATCCTTTTCAAACTTTCTTTCCCTGGGGAACACACCCGTCGATAAATGTCAAAATTGAGAGTGTCAACCTTTTAAAGGCTATGCCTTTTCAGTAAATACAAAACTGACGTATTCATCATAGCATAGTGTTCTTTGCGCTTCAGCACATTCACGATAAAAAACATGCTTTTCAGCAGGTTTTTTTATAAGTAATTATCAGCATCAGTTGTCGATTTCTTCATCTTTCTATACAACTGTCTGGCGGGGTGATTTCTCTGCAACGAATCTTTTCAGATTTTTTTTTCAGAAGCTGGGTTTCGTTTATGTTCGTTTTTGCCGCTTTCAGCTCGAACCATGTTTTTCTCTTTTTAAGATTTTTGGTTTCTCTTTAACCAAACTGTTAAAAAAATACAAGCCGCAATTACTAGATTAAGAAATTTCTGTTATATTGAAATTTTAACTGTTGTACACAAATATTCTACATATTTGTCGGACATCAGGTAGAGTCACCGTCTCTTGCTTGATAGTGCCTTATCTGAAACTACTGTATAGATATTAACACTGTGGTAAATCTTAGATAATACAGCACTGGTCGGTCACTGACGTCCGGTCTCGTCCTGGATTTTGTAGACGAAAGTCCAGCGTGTCGTTTTTTTATGTAGATAGAGGTGAGTTTTGAAAACCAAGCTGCAAGAATTGGTCAAATAGCTTTCCAATTGTAAACAAATGCATGTAGGATAACTGAGACGGACAATAATGAGGTCATATAGAGAATATTACCTGTACGACTAAATGTCAGCGGGGTTGTCTAAGTAAGTCCATTCAGTTGTCCATTAACATTGCTGGGTTCGTCGTTTTATCCAATATATTCATATATGGCAGTGATTATGAGGTATGTATCAATATCGAATTTCACTCGCGGATGTTTTGTCATGGTGTATATATCGTGTATTGTTTTCACTCACCGCGAAACACCTACCTCTGTGTAGCTTGTTCAAATTCTTTGATATATTTGATAATTGTTACTACTTCTGGGGGCAAACAACTTGTGATAAAATACAGTATCATTTAAACACATAACAACCCTGTTATCAATATCGCATTACAGCTGGATAAATGTTTGTGTCCAGACATTGAGCCAGACGTAGTGGATCTATAACTGTGATTGGGTGAAGGTTTATTGTTTGCGATAGACATGTGGAGCTGGCTAATCGCCAAGATTCATCTTATATCAGTTTCAGAGAATGCCACTTCTATGAATACATGCAAACGTTTGTGTGAGAAGCAGAATAATGCATTCGTGAGAAACAGAATAATGCATTCGTTATTTTCCCTACGGAATATATTAACCTCGTCATGTTTGTTTCTTTTTGCCCCGCCAGTTATAATATCATTAGACCCGTTTCATATACCTGATAAGAAATTAAACCGCGTGTAAAATCCTCAATATATTAGTTATTTAATGCTTCAACATTTGCAGTTTCATGACAATCAAAATGCTGCCAATCTTCGTGGTGACTTTAATGTTGCTTGTACAACCAAACGAGGCATCGAGACAGCCATTGACGATCCAAAATGTATGGAATGGCGGTTTCCACAGCAGTTTTACTGTAGACACAGATCACGCCATCATAGGCTGGACAGCTCACCTGTCTTTTAGTAAAGCTGTACAGAACCTGCAAGTATGTATCAGTTCCTCTTAAAGTCAAAATATCTCCACTTTATGTAAAACAAACCAAAATTGTCAAGTAAAGACAAAGCATTACCTCTACTTCAAATCCGATGAGACATCAGAAGAAAGGGAGGGGAGGGGGTTTGATGTTTGAATAAAGAGATATTAATATAAAAAAATCTTTAAAAACTGTAATAAACATTACCGTATGTCGAGAATAATTTTATTTCAGGACCAAGTTTAAATGTATGAACAAGAGAACTTAATATATTTCCATCTATCACAGCCAGTTAGAAATAGTATGTGTGACATCTCGAGGAATAGATTGCCAGCTCCATTAGGCAGTGATGTGTAACCTCCATCAGAGGTGACAGTGTGCCTCTAAGGTGTGAAGTGCAATTTTTCTAATTGGTTGTGATAAGTGAAAATCTGTTGTGATTATCCTTGCTGATCGTAGGGTTTTCCCTTGTGTCGTACATATATGGTATCCTGGTGTATCCTGCATTGAAACGTAATTGGGAAAACGAAATTAAGACTGCAAGAAATTTAGCTACATGTACATGTTTTAGCTGTCTTGCTTGCAAATGGCTAATAGTGTACTCGAGTTGTTTGTTTACCAATTAACAATATTAGATTCATGGAGTGAAATCCTAATCATTTATCCTTTTTTTAGTTGCACATCTAGTTATTATTTCTCAAAGGATTCCTATAAAGCGATTACCCAACCATCATGAAGAGTGTTAAAATTTTGGTTTTTTTTAAGATTTTTGCTTTTTCCTTCGATTTGAGAGCTTTGCAAAATCACAACACAAATGCGTTTATCATTTTTATGGCATATATTCACTTTTCTAAAGCATATTACTGTTTCTATAAATGATCGAAAGGCTGACAATGAGACACTCCTTACTGCTGAGGTAGGGAAATTACTTCAACTGCATGTGGATCGATTATATTTGTTATCCAAGCAGTTGTCCATTGGCCTCATTCTGTCATATTTCATAGTCGTGTTGTGAGGGAAATAATTATGCCTGGGTCCGGTAATACAAGAAAGTAATCTATCAAGGGTTCTATTGAAATAAGAGAATCAGAAGCGAGAGACATATTAAGGCGATTCAGCTGAAAATGAGGTCTTAAACATCCTGAATTATACATATACATTACTTGTCCTTCAAAAAAGATTGAAAACATGTGTATTAAATTTCATATCAATCTCAATGTTTTTGTTCATACCTTATCAAATAAAATCCAGTTGACTGTCAACAACTTTCATCTTCTACATTTAGCATCACTAACGAGTCCTGGATTGGCAAAACAGCTTATGATACAGCGAATTCACCGATTGGGTCTGTTTCTACATTAGTATTGAAAGAGGCTATTGACTTGAATCGGATTAGCGAATGCGTGCTCTTAAAAGTCCTATAAGTGTAACACAAAAACTACTGAAATTCCTGAAAATGTACAAGGAGAATAAGACCAAGTATTCTAGAAGGGTAAGCATTATCTGCTTTGTGAACAGCACTCGCCTTGTAAGCCCTTGTTAATCAATCCAAGTAATGCAACGTTCTGAAATGAGAACAAGGTTAAACAACAAGATTGGGATACACAGTTACCATCTTTTTGGGATATTATCTGTTTACCATCTCGTCACACTATTTTTCGACCTTAGTGTATATAGGATTATAGTACAGCCGAAAAAGTCGGTTGATTCCTTACCATCTCGTACACTATGTACACTAGTGTCTGATGGAGATGACAGTGTTTTCGTCAAAACATCACATTCTGATCTATTACTGGTTGTGTTCTAAGAACTTCTTCTATCATAATTACAAATTTGAAGAAAATGTTCCGAGAAAAATTATTGGTATACATGGTGATGTTGATAACACACCCTTTCAAAGAGTGATAAAGATAAACTTTCCCCCGAATGTGTTAACATATGTTATATGTTCTGTGCGGTCGTTCACATAATACTATGCAGGAAAATTCTTTTTGTTTTTCCATTCTCTCATTTGTGCGTTTTGCCTTGTAACTTCCGCGGTTCTCAATGTTCGTTTGGCCTTGTAACTTCCGCGGTTCTCAATGTAAGTTTGGCCTTATAATTCTGCGGTTCTCAATGTTCGTTTGGCCTTGTTACTATCGCGGTTCTCAGTGTTAGTTTGGCCTTGTAACTTCCGCGGTTCTCAGTGTTAGTTTGGCCTTGTAACTTCCGCGGTTCTCAATGTTCGTTTGGCCTTGTAACTTCCGCGGTTCTCAATGTTCGTTTGGCCTTGTAACTTCCGCGGTTCTCAATGTTCGTTTGGCCTTGTAACTTCCGCGGTTCTCAATGTTCGTTTGGCCTTGTAACTTCCGCGGTTCTCAATGTTCGTTTGGCCTTGTAACTTCCGCGGTTCTCAATGTTCGTTTGGCCTTGTAACTTCCGCGGTTCTCAATGTTCGTTTGGCCTTGTAACTTCCGCGGTTTTCAATGTTCGTTTGGCCTTGTAACTTCCGCGGTTTTCAATGTTCGTTTGGCCTTGTAACTTCCGCGGTTTTCAATGTTCGTTTGGCCTTGTAACTTCCGCGGTTCTCAATGTTCGTTTGGCCTTGTAACTTCCGCGGTTCTCAATGTTCGTTTGGCCTTGTAACTTCCGCGGTTCTCAATGTTCGTTTGGCCTTGTAACTTCCGCGGTTCTCAATGTTCGTTTGGCCTTGTAACTTCCGCGGTTCTCAATGTTCGTTTGGCCTTGTAACTTCCGCGGTTCTCAGTGTTAGTTTGGCATTGTAACTTCCGCGGTTCTCAGTGTTAGTTTGGCATTGTAACTTCCGCGGTTCTCAATGTTCGTTTGGCCTTGTAACTTCCGCGGTTCTCAGTGTTAGTTTGGCCTTGTAACTTCCGCGGTTCTCAATGTTCGTTTGGCCTTGTTACTATCGCGGTTCTCAATGTTCGTTTGGCCTTGTAACTTCCGCGGTTCTCAATGTTCGTTTGGCCTTGTAACTTCCGCGGTTCTCAATGTTAGTTTGGCCTTGTAACTTCCGCGGCCTTGTAACTTCCGCGGTTTTCAATGTTCGTTTTGCCTTGTAACTATCGCGGTTCTCAATGTGACGTTCCTTGGTTCGACATTAATTGACATAACAGAAGTCGTCGAAGAAAAAGAGAGCAACATCTGCCATGATTTTTTGTAAATTTTTAAATTCAAGTCCTTCTCTCGTTTTATTAACATTTTAGTTTTAATTTCTGTTTGTGTTCACATTGAAAATGTCTTCATGTCGACATTGTTTATGAGCTTAAAAGGTAATTCACTTGACGCTGACATTTAAAGATTCTGATCTCGACTGTTTGCAATATTAGATTGTGTCATCAATCGCCATGCGCGCCACCCAATTTATTCATGACTTAATTTGTTTGAGTAATTCTCTCATGAATAATTCTTAAACAGAAACCTATGTAATTAAGAGATCAAGTCATAAAGTCAGAAAAATTCGAAAGATAAATTGGAGTGTCAGCAAAATTTTGCCTAAATCGTTCAAAAATGAACATGAAGTATAGTTATATCAACCAAGAAATATTTTGAAAATACCTATGTAATTCCTATTTTTTGTTTGTTTTTTGTTTGTTTGTTTTTTGTTTTTGTTTTTTGTTTTTTTTGTTTGTTTGTTTGTTTGTTTGTTAGTTTGTTTGTTTAGTTTTTTATTTGGGGGACGGGTTCTGCGACCCCTTAAGTTTATATTAGCTGCAAATATAATTTTGAAATTTGTTGAATTTCGGGGTGATTCCCCAACTGATTTTGATATTTATTTCGACCAGTTTGGATCTTCCTCAGTTGCTTCCCTTGTCTTCACAGTTTAGGCCCTTGTTATCAGTGATGCGTCCTAAATGGATGAAACTGCTTTAAAATGCAGTTGAATTCACTTGGCTTTATTGTGTCTAATTCTGAACATTTTTAAAAGGTATCGTAGATTACAGACGGTAGACATTGCTAATGGACTTTTAATCCTCGGGGTTTGTCTTAACCTGCATGCCACGTTTTAACTCGTTCGAATGGTGGCACAGTTCAGAATACGCATGCGTATTAGACATGTTCTTGGGAATTATCCAATCATACAAAAATATGAAATTTATTTTAGATTTTCTACAACCTATTTTGTAAGTATCAGCTGTATATATGAAATTGTTATAAATTTGAAAATTCAATATCTGTTTAAAAACAGGAATTGTTTTGTGTGTGAAGTTTAATGTGCGTTGGACATCTCATTTACACATTAAAGGACCAAAGCGACTAGATATAAGCTATACCAAGTATCAAACATTTTACGTGTTATCGTACGAGTGTATGTTATGATATGAATTTATTACTGATTTCGGTTCATGTTGAATTTAGACACGGTATTGTACAACGTAGCTTTGCACTGTAATTTTGCACTACTGAACTACTGAATTTTTTTAAAATACGAGACTCACCACTCATTCTACAAAAAAAACATACATTTCACCGTGAACCCTTTTAGTGCAAGATTGGAAAAATCTTCTGATATTTTCTAGAACTGTTTGAAATATCGCACCACAGCGAAGATAACCTTTTGTGAGAAATGCTATGCTTCGCTATCAATTACTCTAAAAACAATGACGATAAGGTGAAAGACTCGTTCATCCGTCAGTTACCATACATTTAAGGTCTCGTGGGGTCCATTTAAAGTGGTGTCCTACTATTACACTTTTACATTAACATCGCATGCTGTTATTGTTACAATATCAGCTTGCTGAACATAATCTTACATAGATGTCTTCACTAATACTAGTAAGAACAGAAATTAAGAACCCCTTGTGATAAAAACCCAGATATATTTATTGAGTGAGATACAAAATGAGCTATTTTTGGCTGTCTATCTTATTGATAAGCAAATATAACTTTAATGAAATGAAAATCATTTTTTTCCTCGTCAGAATTTTTTTTCTGTATGCTTCTTTTCGTTTATTTCGTTTCGAATGTCATATCAAAAATCCTTATTATCGAAAGTTAGTAATCAATCCCTTTCGTTTTTATCAAATCTTAAATTTAATTTTAAATTTTTCGTCTGAACTACCACCGGAAACGTGATCTTAAATCAATTACAATGTAGTTTACACTTCGCTACAATACACAGCTTTGATGAACTAAGAAAAGAAGAGTGTCACTTTAGATCTGTAAAAGGAAGCCACTTTATATTCAACAACATAAAGATGTTATTTTGCGTCGGTTTTAATTAATTCAGGAAGTGGCGTACACGTGTACGAAATAAAAATATATGATTTTTTTTTTTTGGGGGGGGGGGGGGAACAAAACCAGAGCCTCTCTGTTTCTGGGCGTTTTCGATGATAAGTTTTCAATGGCCGACAGTGTCTTAATAAGGAAATAATTGATTAAGCCAAGCCTGCATGTACCAAAGCTAATTGAACTAGTTTTGAATGAATAATTGCTGAGCTGAAGTGTTGCTTCCTTATTTACATAATACATAAAAAGACTTGGGAAACAGGGACAATTTTTCGTTAACTTAATCCAAATGATTAGGAAAAGATGTCAATTATGGTATCTGAAATATCAAATAAAAACAGCGAAATGTGTGGGGTTTTTTTTCTGTTAAACTATGAAAAATATTGAAATAGTAGAGGACTTACAAGTGAGAGTAATAACAGATTTATCTCCCCTACTCCTAAAATCAGATAAAAACAAACAGACCGACCATTTTTAATGGTAGCACATTTCTTTACCTGGTTACCTTAAACTAGCTTGGAGATTTTGGAAGTTATTAAAATGTGGCACAAATCAGGCTTTTTAAACCGTTCGTATGGGTAGCCGTGATCCTCCAGCAACCCGACAATTTATGAAAGTTGAGTTTGCATCAACAATATTTTACATCAGAAGTCTGCTAACATTCCAGCATACTACCAAAGCAGATATATCCCTGTTATTTCCTTCAGATAATTCTAGCCCTTGCTATATAAAGAAGGAAACCTGTACATTATACAATTTTTATACAGGAGAAATACTGGCAAATGTTTCACTTTTGCAATCATTAAGGTTGTGTATTAATAATAAGGATACGGACCTCCCTCGTTCATATTGGATTCCTAAACTTCATAAGTATCAACATCTTTTAGCTGTTCAGCGACATCAATTCTAATATGATAATCCTTAACTTAACCTTAACCCTGCACATGTATTTTGTCCCAGACAGCTTTTGTTTATTTTAACAATACGTTTCCTTTCCGTCTTTTCCGTGTGAGTACAACTGAGGATGTTCAAGCGACATGATGACTAATTGTTCGTTTTGTTTAGATTTTCAAGGCCATAGTCTTGTCGTCAAGCAGTGATCATCGTGATTATGTTGTTCAAAATGTCCGATGGGACGGAAATATTACGGCCAATAGCTCGCTAACTGTAGATTTCACCGGGACTATGGTTGGTGACCAGGCCCCGACCGGAACTGTTACCATAACGGAAGTAACAATGGGAGGAAGTCAGTCGACAGCTTCACCTCCACCAGGACCCACAACACAGGGCTCATCCAACCATTCTGTAAATGGTTTGTCATTATCTTTTTTTTTTTCATTGTAATTATGAAACAAATATGTATAACATAACTATGAAATTGTTATTTACATGCACAATGTAGTTCCTTCATGATGAAAACAAAACTTCAAAATAAATTGTTAACGTTTTCAGCTCTAAACACAAAATACGATTACGCGGAAGCCATGCGTTTGTCAATACTATTTTACGCCGCGCAACGGTCAGGCAAACTTCCGGCTAACAACCCTATTCCATGGAGGGGTGACTCCGCTCTCCAGGACGGACACGACGTTCACACTGATTTGACTGGTGGATGGTATGATGGTAAGCTGGATTTTAATCTCCATCTATTACATCACACGACGACTCTATGTCATAACAGTCTACAATGTAAACCAAACCTTCTTTATAACAAATATTTCTCTTTTTTAATATGGTTGATATCAAGACCGGTGATATCACCAGACGATAGAGATGATAAGTCATTTTAATGATGCTTTTAAAATTCCTGTATCTATAGATTTTTTTATATATATTCAATAATGTTTTTCCTTGTTTCATTTTGATAAATCTATCTAAAATCTACAATGTCTGCCTTTCATACGATTAAGTCATCAATAACGACATGTAATATGGTAGTATTATTTTCAAAATGGAAGACCATGTCTTCGAAAAATGTTATTCAATATCGTCTTGTCCTTTTGTATATAGTTTTATACACTGGAATAAGAGTTACGTTATACTTATATATATCTACCACAATCAATCGTGTTATTCTATTCCCAGACCGTTCCGTAAATGCGTCAACGGCTGGAAAAAATTATCATATATAAGTATAGTATCATATATAAAATGATATGTGCGCTTCCGGTCATTTGCTTGTTTATGTATGTTGTAACAGGTCATTTAATATCCGCTGGTTTTCATCAATTTTAATCTGAGATAAAATGAAGGTATTGCAGATTTTCGCCATTTTGTATAAATTAGCTGCGATTTCTGGAAATATGGGAAATATCATCGAACCATCTTGTATCAAGATGTCCTGAAGGTTACCAATAATCTGTTTATCTCTGTAATACACTAAGTTTGGCTTTGTACCATTGACTACAAATACTCACCTCTATGATACAACAACATTGACTTTGTATCATTGACTACAAATACACACCTCTATGATACAACAACATTGACTTTGTATCATTGACTACAAATACACACCTCTATGATACAACCACATTGACTTTGTATCATTGACTACAAACACTCACCTCTATGACAAACTAAGTTTGGCTTTGTATCATTGACTACAAATACTCACCTCTATGACAAACTAAGTTTGGCTTGTATCATTGACTACAAATACTTACCTTTATGATACAACCACATTGATTTTGTATCATTGACTACAAATGTTCGCCTCTGTGATACTCCAACCTCGGCATTGTATCATTGAGGCTACATATACTGACTTCTGTGATACACTAACATTAAATTTGTATCATTGACTACATAACTCACCTCTATGATACACCAACATTGACTTTGTACCATTGACTACAAATACTCACCTCTATGACACACTAAGTTTGGCTTGTACTATTGACTACAAATACTCACCTCTATGACAAACTAAGTTTGGCTTGTATCATTGACTACAAATACTTACCTTTATGATACAACCACATTGATTTTGTATCATTGACTACAAATGTTCGCCTCTGTGATACTCCAACCTCGGCATTGTATCATTGAGGCTACATATACTGACTTCTGTGATACACTAACATTAAATTTGTATCATTGACTACATAACTCACCTCTATGATACACCAACATTGACTTTGTACCATTGACTACAAATACTCACCTCTATGACACACTAAGTTTGGCTTGTATCATTGACTACAAATACTTACCTTTATGATACAACCACATTGATTTTGTATCATTGACTACAAATGTTCGCCTCTGTGATACTCCAACCTCGGCATTGTATCATTGAGGCTACATATACTGACTTCTGTGATACACTAACATTAAATTTGTATCATTGACTACATAACTCACCTCTATGATACACCAACATTGATTTTGTATCATTGACTACAAATACACACCTCTATGATACACCAACATTAAATTTGTATCATTGACTACAAATACACACCTCTATGATACACCAACATTGATTTTGTATCATTGACTACAAATACACACCTCTATGATACACCAACATTAAATTTGTATCATTGACTACAAATACACACCTCTATGATACACCAACATTGATTTTGTATCATTGACTACAAATACTTACCTCTATGATACACCAACCTCGGCATTGTATCATTGACTACAGATATTTACCTCTTTACCTCTATGAAACACCAACATTAACTTTGTATCATTGACTACAAATAGTCATGAATTGATTTCCGTTATAATTGAGTGGTGATTTTCACTGATAATGTGACCAGCCTTCATTGTTTCAATTGGAAAAACTTTGAACACCAATCAACCACCTAACATCTACTGAACCTTAGCTAAATCAAATAATCCATCATACTTTAAGAAGAGAGTGGTAACAAATACGTTTTAGTCACCATCTATTCCTGTATTTTGATGGTTTTTGTTTGGCAAATTTTATCCACAGAGAAAAACGTATTTTATGTATCTTTATCACAATCACAATTTTGCCAATTTTTTTTAGCTGGCGACCTAATTAAGTTTAATTTCCCGATGGCGTCCACCACTACACTGCTTGTATGGGGTCTCATTCGGTGGCCGGACGCCTATCAGTCTGCAGGACAACTAGACAACATGTATGACAGCATAAAATGGCCGCTTGACTACTTCCTAAAGTGTTGGAAGCCAAGTATAAACACACTTTACGTACAGGTAGGTATTTTCAAGGCAGGTAAATAATGTACATACAGGTGGATACAGATAAAATGTTAAATGCAGAAGAATAAAGCAAATAACAGGAAACTGTTTGTCAAGATTTGATGTAGACACAAGGCTACATGCATACGTAAGCTTTGTCATGTGTCCTTTACCATATACACAAGTTGTTATCAAGCATGCTTCAGTATCTCCAGTCTTATATATTCTTATGTTAAACTTTTAGAATCGTGTCAGAAAATAAAGAGACAATATTATCTAATTACTAGCGAATGACAGCAATGCTTTCAAGACCGATTCCATGAACGTTTTATGTATTCTATGACAAGTAACGTTGCTGAAACTTCTAATTGTTTAAAGTGTTTCTAAAAGCACAGGGAAGCCTTGTATGTGTATCAGAATAGAATGACGACATTCAGAAGTTTAAAAAGGTAAAATCAGGACGAAGGAGAGATTGCATGTCAGCATTCCATAGTTTTTCCTGTTAAACCGTTGGCTTCACTGTCTATTACTTATAGTGCACATCCTGCAATGAAGATAAATTACCCAACACTAACTATATATGTACACCTTACACGAGATTGAAACATATCAAAACGATTAAAGTGCATGTATGCGCTAATAGGACGTGAATTACTGAAATTCCTATTTCAGTCGACAAGTCTTCACATATCTCCACTTATTTCTTGATGTGATTGGATTTTTATATGCTTTAACACGTATTAATTTCCTGTAGTGTGGAAATGGGCACTTAGGCCATGATTACTGGGGCAGACCGGAAGACATGAATCCGAACAGACCAACGTATAAAGTCAATGCGCATAAACCCGGAAGTGACGTTGCAGGGGAGACAGCTGCAGCGATGGCAGCTGGTTCGATCGCTTTCCAAAGAAAAGGTATCACTGTAGCTGTCAAGGCCAGGTCGATCAGAAGCTCCTTCTCCTCCTCCTCCTCCTCCTCCTCTCCTCCTCCTCCTCCTCCTCCTCCTCTCCTCCTCCTCCTCCTCCTCCTCCTTCTTCTTCTTATTATTATTAATGGGTAGGGCCTCGTTTTCTATACATAAACATGTATATTTGATTTTATTTGCATTAAATTTATAGAATGGGATTGGACACAAGTTATCAAACTTATATGAAGATGAAATGGACTGTTTTAGCTTGTTCAGACAGATAGACAGACATACTAATTTCAAATTCACATTTACAAATCAAAACTGGTAAGTAAGCAATACACGTAATTTACATGTAGTTAAATCGAAAAAATTCAAGATATTTTTTTATCTAAGAAGAATTTTCAAAGATATACTGAACAAACAGCGAAGCACCAAATATTTAAAAACAAAGAGGTATGGCGCTGTGCGTATCTGGAGCTTCCATTTCAGTACATAGACTAGGTAGATCTAAATTTGACAAAGGACGACAGGCCAACAACCGTGTCTATCCTGACTGTGGCGTGCTTTCCTTATAGATGTTGGGCGATGTTACTATTAAAACTGAGAATTGCACACAGGAAAACATTAATCCAATGCCCAAATTGCTATTGAAACATTTAACACTCATTATCACCTGAAATAATAGGTCTTGGTCTGTAATCGTTGGAATGCATATGAATAATGAAATAACAAAACACTTCCTACTGCAATTAGTTAATGAAAAAGTGTATTGAAAGATAACATTCCGATGTTAAAAGCTGTGACTAAGCGTGCGACCCAATGAAACACATCTAACAAATATAAGATATAATTTAATTGTAAAGTCAAGATAAAAAGCAAAAGCTCCTATCATTTTTGGTCTAATTTGATTTTTTTTATTTCTTGATGTATCAGACCTCACTGGGTTTGTGTGTACTATGGATGCCAAAATAGCATTTGTAATCAGAAAATTAGCAATGTTTTATTGTATAATATCCAAGGTAGCAATTTCTAAATCAAATAAAAAACTTTTTCATGTTTTATTGTTTAATTTCCTTTCCGAATTCGCAAAATGAAAATTCTGTTGTTTTGTGGTTTTTAAGGTTTTTTTGCATGTGATGGCTTATCACATTTAAGTAGAATTAGACAGTTAAACGCTATTTCAATTTAAGCCAAGCTACAATGCTCTCACCAGAGTATCACGTGGCGAAAAATGTTGACGTCACTTTTTGTTTGTAGATACTGCCTACGCCAATACATTGCTGACGGCGAGCAGATCTCTTTATGTCTTCGCCAAGACTCACAGAGGAAAATATTCCGATAGCGTGCAGGACGTTCACGAGTTTTATGCGTAAGTTCAGTAATTAGGGAACCAGGTCGAAGGAGAAGAAGCTGCAACACGGATGAAGTCAAAGTTTTATAAAACGAAAGCGATATTGTCTCAACAGAGTCTCAACAACGTTTACATTTTCTCTCCTGCATGTTGTTGTTGCTATTGTTTTGAGTTTCTAAGGATAACAGTTTTGAATAAGGGAAACAGTTTGAGTCATTTCCGAGTTCGGATTGCATTTTGAGTCAGGGTTTGTTTTGAGTTTGGAGTATAATTTTGATTAAGAGTTGAAATTTTGAGTTAGGATTGAATTTTGAGTAAAAGTTACAGTCTTGATGAAGCATTGCATTTCGAGTAAGAGTTAATTTTGAGATAGGAGTAAATTTTGAGTAAAAATTAGTTTTGAGTTATGTGATGTAGTTATAGTTTGAGTAAGAGCTAGTTTTTTTAGTTTGCATTACACTTGATAAAGAGTTGCAATTTTGACTTAAAAGTACGGTTTTGAGTTAGGATTACATTTTGAGTAAGAGTTAGTTTGGAGTTATTATTACATTTTGAGTTAGAGTTAGTTCGGAGTTAGGATTACATTTTGAGTTAGAGTTAGTTCGGAGTTAGGATTACATTTTAAGTTAGAGTTAGTTCGGAGTTAGGATTACACTTTGAGTTAGAGTTAGTTCGGAGTTAGGATTACATTTTGAGTTAGAGTTAGTTCGGAGTTAGGATTACATTTTGAGTTAGAGTTAGTTCGGAGTTAGGATTACATTATGATTAGAGTTAGTTCGGAGTAAGGATTACATTTTGAGTTAGAGTTAGTTCGGAGTTAGGATTACATTTTGAGTTAGAGTTAGTTCGGAGTTAGGATTACATTTTGAGTTAGAGTTAGTTCGGAGTTAGGATTACATTTTGAGTTAGAGTTAGTTCGGAGTTAGGATTACACTTTGAGTTAGAGTTAGTTCGGAGTTAGGATTACATTATGAGTTAGAGTTAGTTCGGTTAGGATTACATTATGGAGTTAGTTCATTCATGATTAGAGTTAGTTCGGAGTTAGGATTACATTTTGAGTTAGAGTTAGTTCGGAGTTAGGATTACATTATGATTAGAGTTAGTTCGGAGTTAGGATTACATTTTGAGTTAGAGTTAGTTCGGAGTTAGGATTACATTTTAAGTTAGAGTTAGTTCGGAGTTAGGATTACATCATGATTAGAGTTAGTTCGGTGTTAGGATTACATTATGAGTTAGAGTTAGTTCGGAGTTAGGATTACATTTTGAGTTAGAGTTAGTTCGGAGTTAGGATTACATTTTGAGTTAGAGTTAGTTCGGAGTTAGGATTACATTTTGAGTTAGAGTTAGTTCGGAGGTAGGATTACATTTTGAGTTAGAGTTAGTTCGGAGTTAGGATTACATTTTGAGTTAGAGTTAGTTCGAAGTTAGGATTACATTTTGAGTCTGATTATAGTTTTGAGATTAAGGCACTCCCTTTGGCTAATTACTAGCCCAAAAACAACATGGTTTATGCCGTTCTCTGATGAACTAAATTAGATTGACATCGAAAATTGGCCAGAATTGGGACGAATTCTTCCTGAATAGGGAATCGGCTATTCTAGAATATTGCAAATTATCGCCAGGCGCTCCTGACAGCTTTAGAGTACAAACACTTTTGTCCAGAACTCACTTTGTATTCCCGACTTTAACGTTTGGGCTGACAAAAGAGACCGTTAAACTGAAAGGTTCAGAGAAATAGCTAACCAAGGAAATTGCTCTATTTTATGACAGACAAACAAATTCCTTAAGTAGAAATGGGATTTTTAATAGGATACTAAACCCAACGTCTCATACATGTATTTTAAGTCTGAGAAAGTGTCATGTTATTCTGTAAAAGTGAAATTATGTGACAGAACGTTAATAGTCTTCTTAATGGATGGTTTGAAGAAACAATATTTAGAATGTATGGAATTGTTTGTCTGTGTCGTTTGTCACATAAATATGTCCATGATTCATTCTTGTTTCTGATTGTTCTTGCGTCCGCCGTTTTGTTTCTGACTATCACAGTTACGTAATCTGTCCTGGTATCCACCTATCGCATTATTATGGTCTCTCTGTGCACCTGTCACATATACGTTAAGTATCTGTCTGTCTGTCTGTCAGTTTTTCAGGCTGTCTGCCTGCATGTCTGTTTGTCTGTCTGCCACCTTGCCCTGCCTGCCTGCCTGCCAGCTTGTATGTATGTGTGTCTGTCAGTATGTCTGTTTGCCTGCCTGCCTGTCTGTCCATCTGTCACATTTTATTATCTGTCTGTCCATCTGTCATATATCTACGGCCTGTCTGTCCATCTGTTTTCACACAGATCCAGTGGCTATGAGGATGAATTGTGTACCGCCGCAGCCTGGTTATACAAGGCCACCAACGAAACCCATTATTTAGTCGACGCTAAACATTTTTACGATTCAGACACCGCGTATGCGCTCTCCTGGGATGACAAGCAAATCTCATGTCAAGTGAGTATAACACTGCACCATAGATATGTATTTTGGTTCCTCACTATCTAATACCTAGATTATAACAAACAAGTATATTTATTCATACTTCGATCTGTAACATCTGTTGTCATTTCGATAACATTGTTACAAACTTCCATCAATAATAAAGTTAGTAGAACGATTCATCATGGTGACAAACAATTTTTTTGGATAAACTGTCAATAGACATGATCGATATACCCAGTTTTGTATCAACTGTTCATACATATGACCAATTATAGTGACATATATTATTATGTATAAACTGTCAGATGGTGATAATGTACCCATTGAACCCACAATTCCTTGAATGGACGGAGTCAGTGTATAAAAACAAAGTTACTTACTTACTATGGGAACGATACAGAAATACAATGTATTATCATCACATAGATATTACTATGGGAACGATATAGAAATACAATATATTATCATCACGTAGATATTACTATGGGAACGATACAGAAATATACTGTATTATCATCACGTAGATATTACTATGGGAACGACACAGAAATACACTGTATTATCATCACGTAGATATCACTACGGGAACGACACAGAAATACACTGTATTATCATCACGTAGATATTACAATGGGAACGACACAGAAATACACTGTATTATCATCACGTAGATATTACAATGGGAACGACACAGAAATACACTGTATTATCATCACGTACTATGGGAACGGTACAGAAATACACTGTATTATCATCACGTACTATGGGAACGGTACAGAAATACACTGTATTATCATCACGTACTATGGGAACGGTACAGAAATACACTGTATTATCATCACGTACTATGGGAACGGTACAGAAATACACTGTATTATCATCACGTACTATGGGAACGGTACAGAAATACACTGTATTATCATCACGTACTATGGGAACGGTACAGAAATACACTGTATTATCATCACGTACTATGGGAACGGTACAGAAATACACTGTATTATCATCACGTACTATGGGAACGGTACAGAAATACACTGTATTATCATCACGTACTATGGGAACGGTACAGAAATACACTGTATTATCATCACGTACTATGGGAACGGTACACTGTATTATCAACACGTACTATGGGAACGACACAGAAATACACTGTATTATCATCACGTAGATATTACAATGGGAACGGTACAGAAATACACTGTATTATCATCACGTACTATGGGAATGGTACAGAAATACACTGCATTATCATCACGTACTATGGGAACGGTACAGAAATACACTGTATTATCATCACGTACTATGGGAACGGTACAGAAATACACTGTATTATCATCACGTACTATGGGAACGGTACAGAAATACACTGCCTACTATGGGAATACAGAAATCACTGTATTACATACGGTGAAATACACTGTATTATCATCACGTACTATGGGAACGGTACAGAAATACACTGTATTATCATCACGTACTACACGGTACAGTATATATCATCACGTACTATGGGAACGGTACGTGAAATACACTGTATTATCATTTTACTATGAATAATAAATACACGGAACACACGTAAACATTAAAATATATGAATTATATGACAAATGCTTTAAAATAAGAAATACACTGATATATCACGTACTATGGGAACGGTACAGAAATACACTGTATTATCATCACGTACTATATACAGAAATACACTGTCACGTTATGGGACACAGAAAACTGTATTATCATCACGTACTATGGGAACGGTACAGAAATACACTGTATTATCATCACACAGAAATACACTGTATTATCATCACGTAGATATTACAATGGGAACGGTACAGAAATACACTGTATTATCATCACGTACTATGGGAATGGTACAGAAATACACTGCATTATCATCACGTACAGAAATACACTGTATTATCATCACGTACTATGGGAACGGTACAGAAATACACTGTATTATCATCACGTACTATGGGAACGGTACAGAAATACACTGTATTATCATCACGTACTATGGGAACGGTACAGAAATACACTGTATTATCATCACGTACTATGGGAACGGTACAGAAATACACTGTATTATCATCACGTACTATGGGAACGGTACAGAAATACACTGTATTATCATCACGTACTATGGGAACGGTACAGAAATACACTGTATTATCATCACGTACTATGGGAACGGTACAGAAATACACTGTATTATCATCACGTACTATGGGAACGGTACAGAAATACACTGTATTATCATCACGTACTATGGGAACGGTACAGAAATACACTGTATTATCATCACGTACTATGGGAACGATACAGAAATACACTGTATTATCATCACGTACTATGGGAACGGTACAGAAATACACTGTATTATCATCACGTACTATGGGAACGGTACAGAAATACACTGTATTATCATCACGTACTATGGGAACGGTACAGAAATACACAGTATTTTCATTATCCAGATTTTACTCTGGGAACTGACTAGTGAGACCCAGTATAAAACCAGTGTGAGGAACTTCCTTCATAGCTACATGCCTGGTGGAAATGTTCCATACACACCGTGTGGTCTTGTGTTCAGGGCCAAGTGGGGCTCGCTGGCGTTTGCAGGTACAGTATATACATAGCAACAATGAACAGACGTGAAATATTGTAATTTTAATGAATAATAATTTCCGGAACACATCGAAACATTAAAATATATGAATTATATGACAAATGCTTTAAAATAAGAACATTGATATATTGATTTTATTTGAGACCTGATTTTTATATAGAATATGTTGCACGAGTTCCTGACATAGAAGAATATGTCACCAAGTGTCTGGCAGGTAAAATTCAAATACGTATCCAGTTTCATAAATCTTGCATGAAATGGAAATTACTGTAAGAGTGTGTTTCACATGACATTCGCTGAAAAAGGTTTTTAGAATTATAAGTCTGAAACAGAATCGAAATTGGTGATGTTCTCACTTTGTATGGAAGCCTGAAGTTGGTTCCAAGTTCCAAGTTCCGTTAAAGAACCGTTTGGGAACTAGTTTGAGAAAAACGTCACTAGGAACTAGGAACTGGGAGCTGGGAGCTCATCTTTGTATCTCTTTCTTTGTTATCATTACACCGCATATAACGCCTTGACTTGGTTGTTGGCACGTTTCCGTCTTCGTGACTCCTTCCGTGTCCGGGTATCGTTACATTTAGCAAGGTTTAAAACATATCACTTCCGACACCAGCAACGACCTCAAAGATTCAATCACTATATGTGACATTTGTGAATTATCTGGCGAGTTAGTGAATTAATGATATCGTATCTGTATTTTAACATCGGTGTGAATATTTCTCCATCAGCTAATGCCGCCTTCGTGGCCCTGATGGCAGCTGAGGACGGGATTGGCGGGAATGACTACAAAGCATGGGCCTTATCTCAGATAGATTACGCTCTCGGGGAAAACAACCATAACTTTAGCTACGAGATCGGATTCGGTACAGATTACCCTGTCAAACCTCATCATGTGGCAAGGTAAGTGCATCACAATTAAAAATAATTCAAAGTATCACACCTCTGGAAAAAGGGCGAGTGTGTAAGGATCCACATGTAACAGTTACAGGTCAGGACGTACACTGGGTAGTTACAGGGTCAGGACTTACACTGGGCAGTTACAGGGTCAGGACATACAAAGGACAGTTACAGTACCAGGACGTACAAGGGGCAGTTACAGGGTCAGGACGTACACTGGGCAGTTACAGGGCCAGGACGTACACTGGGCAGTTACAGGGCCAGGACGTACACTGGGCAGTTACAGGGTCAGGACGTACACTGGGCAGTTACAGGGCCAGGACGTACACTGGGCAGTTACTGGGCAGTTACAGGGCCAGGACGTACAAGGGGCAGTTACAGGGTCAGGACATACACTGGGCAGTTACAGGGCCAGGACTTACACTGGGCAGTTACAGGGCCAGGACGTACAAGGGGCAGTTACAGGGCCAGGACGTACAAGGGGCAGTTACAGGGCCAGGACGTACAAGGGGCAGTTACAGGGTCAGGACGTACACTGGGCAGTTACAGGGTTATAGGGTCAGGACGTACACAGGGCAGTTACAGGGTCAGGACGTACACTGGGCAGTTACAGGGTCTGGACGTACACTGGGCAGTTACAGGGTCAGGACGTACACTGGGCAGTTACAGGGTCAGGACGTACACTGGGCAGTTACAGGGTCAGGACGTACACTGGGTAGTTACAGGGTCAGGACTTACACTGGGCAGTTACAGGGTCAGGACATACAAAGGACAGTTACAGTACCAGGACGTACAAGGGGCAGTTACAGGGTCAGGACGTACACTGGGCAGTTACAGGGTCAGGACATACACTGGGCAGTTACAGGGTCAGGACGTACACTGGGCAGTTACAGGGTCAGGACGTACACTGGGCAGTTACAGGGCCAGGACGTACACTGGGCAGTTACAGGGTCTGGACGTACACTGGGTAGTTACAGGGCCAGGACATACACCTGGAAATCACAGGGTCAGGACCTACACTGGGCAGTTATAAGGTCATGACGTACACAGAGCAGTTACAGGGTCAGGGCGCACACTGGGCAGTTATAGGGTCAGGACGTACACGGGGCAAATACAGGGTAAGGACGTACACTGGGCAGTTACAGGGTCAGGATGTACACGGGGCAGTTACAGGATCAGGACCTACACTAGACAGTTACAGGGTCAGGACGTGCACAGGGTAGTTACAGGGTCAGGACTTACACTGGGTAGTTACAGGGTCAGGACGTACACAGGGCAGTTACAGGTTCAGGACATACACGGGACAGTTACAGGTTCAAGACGTACACTGGGTAGTTACAGGGTCAGGACGTACACTGGGCAGTTACAGGTTCAGGACGTACACTGGGCAGTTACAGGGTCAGGAAATACACTGGGCAGTTACAGGTTCAGGACGTACACTGGGCAGTTACAGGTTCAGGACGTACACTGGACAGTTACAGGTTCAGGACGTACACTGGGCAGTTACAGGGTCAGGACTTACACTGGACAGTTACAGGTTCAGGACGTACACTGGGCAGGCACAGGGTCAGGACGTACACTGGGTAGTTACAGGTTCAAGACGTACACTGGGCAGTTACAGGGTCAGGAAATACACTGGGCAGTTACAGGTTCAGGACGTACACTGGGCAGTTACAGGTTCAGGACGTATACTGGGTAGTTACAGGTCAGGACGTACACGGGGCAGTTACAGGTTCAGGACGTACACTGGGTAGTTACAGGGTCAGGACGTACACTGGGTAGTTACAAGTTCAGGACGTACACTGGGCAGTTACAGGGTCAGGAAATACACTGGGCAGTTACAGGTTCAGGACGTACACTGGGCAGTTACAGGTTCAGGACGTACACTGGACAGTTACAGGTTCAGGACGTACACTGGGCAGTTACAGGTTCAGGACGTACACTGGGCAGTTACAGGTTCAGGACGTACACTGGACAGTTACAGGTTCAGGACGTACACTGGGCAGGCACAGGGTCAGGACTTACACTGGACAGTTACATGTTCAGGACGTACACTGGGCAGGCACAGGGTCAGGACGTACACTGGGCAGTTACAGGTTCAGGACGTACACTGGACAGTTACAGGTTCAGGACGTACACTGGGCAGGCACAGGGTCAGGACTTACACTGGGCAGTTACAGGTTCAGGACGTACACTGGGCAGTTACAGGTTCAGGACGTACACTGGACAGTTACAGGTTCAGGACGTACACTGGGCAGGCACAGGGTCAGGACTTACACTGGACAGTTACAGGTTCAGGACGTACACTGGGCAGGCACAGGGTCAGGACTTACACTGGACAGTTACATGTTCAGGACTTACACTGGGCAGGCACAGGGTCAGGACGTACACTGGGCAGGCACAGGGTCAGGACTTACACTGGACAGTTACATGTTCAGGACTTACACTGGGCAGTTACAGGGTCAGGACTTACACTTGGCAGGCACAGGGTCAGGACGTACACTGGGCAGGCACAGGGTCAGGACGTACACTGGGCAGTTACAGGGTCAGGACTTACACTGGGCAGGCACAGGGTCAGGACGTACACTGGGCAGTTATAGGGTCAGGACTTACACTGGACAATGAATGAAATCATAACCATGTTTAGTTTTCTTACATCGGCGAGAGGTATCATACTTTACATGTATGTACAATCTCGCGTGCACGGAGTTCTCGTCAGAACTTTACGGACAAACGGATAACGTTAAAATCGACAAGAACAGTGTTTATTCTAATGGAAATTTTGTGCAACATTTGTATATCAATTTTTTCTCAAATTGCTGGAAACAAATCGACTTTCCCTACTGAACAAGTGAAGTGTTATCTAAGCGTGTTACAAGTTACTGATGCAAAATCGCACCAAGTTTTGCCTTTTGGCGAGATTCGAGTACTTCGCGTATAGGGACTACTAAAACAGACTGGAATAACATCGACCACAAACGTTAGTGATAAACACATAAATAAAATGACAGTATAGTATTATCAATGTTGATAAATACATTGAAACGAAAAAAGGGAGAAAAAAGCCACAACAACCAATACTTGAAATATCGAGCGTGACTCATCCGAGACTTTGGATTGCATTTAACATCCGTTTCCATTCCATCTTAGTAAAATCTACTTGAAAATGGTTTTTTTCCTGTATTAAGCCCGTCAGGAAACCGAATTGATAAAAAAAAAATTTAAAAATTTTAAATATTGAAATGACATTGTACATGAAAGAGGAGCTGTTCATTTCATATTTCCAAATTACAACAACAAACCTCTATATTTTCTTACGTGTAAAAAACAACCTTTAATTTTCTGTCTCGCCACTACACAAGAACTGTATGGTTATGATATAGATAACTTTGCCCTTCTCTTTTCGAAGGATTTTTTTTTCTACGCTTTGAACTATAAATATGTTTATGTTATTTATTTGAGTTAAAATTTGAAATATTATATTTACAAAGTCGTAAGCCTGAAGCATGTCTTGTCGTACTGTCAAAGTAATACACATTGGTAGTGTTAGATACATCAAAGTCAATACTTATATCATCTTAGGTTGCCACATTCAACATACGTGACAAACGTATGTTATAAACAGACTCCTTTTGATCTACAAGAAGAGGAGAGGCTAGTCTCCACTGGTGGGACGCCCGCTCACTCGGGCTTCTGTCTGAACTATGTTAGAATGCAATTTGGAAATACGAGGATGTATTTTGTAAATATATTGATATATATACATTCTGGATTTTACATGAAGACCATAAGTCGGATTTCAGTGTGATCACTTCAATAATTCAACAACATCAACACTATTGGTTAAAACCACAAAAATGTATTTCGTTGACAATGCGTTTATAGATAGTTGTAGAATTTTGAAGTTATAACTTATGATGAAACTTCACATAGTTTTTAAGTAAATTATCACAAACATATTTATCTGATACCAGTTCATATTTACAATATGATATACTTTTTTCGAGCATTTAAACGTCACTGGTTTAAAACATTGAAATTGTTAACATCCAAACTTAGTTGTCTCCATCTGATCTGCTTTCTACTACTGCAGTTGTCTTGTTATTGTATGTATTCCTGGTGAAGTCAAACATTATCTTAGTAGAAAGGTGTGGCTTTATGATCGAGCAAATATTGATTAACTTCAGACTATGATTAATAATATTCCATGGTTATTCACCTTTACTAACATGACTAATGCTAATGAAATGTGCAGCTTTTTTACTGAAAAAAATATTGATGCTATGAATAAACGTATTCAATTTAAAGAAATATTACTTAGAGATACAGACAAACCTTGGATGAACGGGATGATTAAACGGAACATGAAAAAAGGGACATATACAAAAAATAATGTTTGATGATAAAACAGTACGCATTAAAAATAATTATAAGTAAATGAGAAATAAATTAAATAATATGATAAAGAGAGCCAAAGAAATATTTTATGATAACATAGATTCATTTATAGATAAATATAATTATAATCCTAAAGTTTAATGGAAACTTTTACGAAATATAATTAAAAAGGGGGGGAACAAATTAAGAAACATCTCCATATTAGGTAATTATACTAACGAAATAATATATTACAATGATAAAAAATGTGAGCTTCTGAACAATTGTTTTAGCTCTGTCTGTAATTTATCGGAAAGTGATCTAGATAAAGAATTTCTTTTTTGAGAGACGTACTGACTCTTTCAGAAATAACCATTTTACCTAGTGAAGTTACTGATGTCATAAAATAAATTGAATGCTAAGAAGGCGTGTGGCCCTGATGGTATAAGTTATATAATGCTTACACTTGTATCCAATGAAAGTTTGTGCCATTATCTCTTATCGTTATTTATTCTCTATTGTCTGGTGTATATCCCGATTCATGGAAACTGACTTGTTTCATGTCTGTCTTTAAAGCCTACAACCCTTGTGTTACTTCTAATTACAGACCAATGTCGCTCCTTAGC